GTATATGTGAACACATACATTCATGAACTTAGGAAAGCGTATACACATAGTATGTACATACATATAATTTATATGTATGTACATACACACACACACCACCCACACACATATATATATATATATATATATTATACTATCTGAAAAATAAAAGAAAAAGCACATTATATGGTATGTTTATTTTTTCGGCATATGTACACAATTTTAACATTAGCAAATCCACAAAGTAATAAATAATAATTCACAATTTTTATAAAATAATGTAATTACATATGACATATTATCAACATTTCATGGCAATGGAAAAATATACAATGATAAATGATAAGAAAATGCAAATTTAAAATTAAACTCGAATAAAATCATCGAAGTATCCTTACAAAGTCTTCATAATTCTTTCACTAAATATTTCATATTATGTATATATTATGTAATTAGGAATGTATCTTCAGTTAAAACTAAATGTGGTATAAGTCTATGATGTCTTCTCTACAAAAGCATTCTCGATATCTATTTCATGCCCATTTGTGATGAAGAAATGCATCTCGGATATAATTATTAGCTTTCGATTTTCACCTGAAATAAAAAACATGGTAATAATTTCTATTTAACTTTTAATACATATGTTTTTTTATATACTTCACAAAGCAAATGGTTTTCAAAAGGCCAAGTGATTCTGTTATAAATATTTGTCACTGATTTTTAATATTAACAATAAAATAATATTTAGAATATGAAGAATAAATAGAAGTTTTTAATATCTATTATTATTAGAAAAAATTTAATAACACACACGATCAATTTTTAGGTTAATGGAGCGTTTTAGAGTAAAGATTTAAGTAATTCATGTAATTTAAGAGCCTTTAAAAATACATTTTTATAAACATATATTTTCACATATTTAATATCACTTTCACATTTATTAGCAATTAAAAATATAAATTAGACACTACAAAACACAACACTTAATTTAAAACACATGGCGAATAGTCCCATCTCCCATGATGCATTTCAGGATAACTTTTAACTTGGCATCATAGCCTAGGCTAGCGGCCGGCGGCCGGCGCTGCCTCGCAGGATTACGGTACTTATGTCGCTTAGGGCCGTTCATTGGTTGACAGTTTCGCTCATAAACGAAATATTCCGAAAATCACGAGCTGTCGATCTTTATGTTATAATATATGAAATAAAATCATCATTTTTCTTACGTAATATTTTTTGCAGGCAAATTACAATATTTTTGTAATTATTTCGTAATATCTGATTCGTAATTAGATACATATTTCTTACACTAAAATTACGTAATATTACGTAACTGGTTTAGTGGGTATATATATATATATATATATATATGTATGTTTATTTATATATGTATGTATATACAATATACAATATAAAATATGCTTTTTTGAAAATTGATGAAAGGAACACTAGTTGCTTCAAACAAATGTTTTAAACATTGACAACATTCAATTCTATATGGTTGAAATATGAACCATCTTTGAATGTCGGTGGTTGAAATTATGAATCAATTTTGTTTTAAAATCGTAACTAATTTTTCATTATCTTTTTATTCTATATATTGATGGAAATTGCCAGATCACATATTTTTGCATTTGTTTCTAATTATATTGCTTTCTAGAAGTAAGATGTTATTTATATGTTTTGTATGATTATAAGAATTCAAATGTATGATTATATTGTTTAATGCTGTTGAACAAATATATTCTAGAAGAGAGACAAAAGTGAATGCTTGTGTGAATTTGAAGTTGTTTGCGAGGATGTTTGTTATATTTTTTGTAAGCTTGATTGTGATAATGGAATTCAAAGAGGTTAATAATGGAATAGTTTTTCGCTTTCATATTAAGTTCCATATACTATTTTTAGGCGATGAAGAGCAATATTATTTGTACAATTAGGTTGGGTATGATTCAAGAAAATCTGTTTAGGAAGCCTAGAATGTGCTTTAATAAATTCTTAAGCTAAGTGATTTTTTGTTTTGGTTAATTTGTGTAAATATCTTTAACTTTTTTTTAAGTGTGTTCTACAAAAGATTTCTATTATATGTATAGTGGCAAAGTAATATCTGTATAGAAAGGTTAAAACTCCAATAATGTTTCGGTAAGGGGATATCCATTAATTTTTTCCCTTTGCTGATATCCAACTCCCTCCAGTTTGAGTGTACTTTGTATTATAATTGATACACTATATGTGTTGATCTAATTAGAATGGTGCAAATCTACTATTTTATATGAATTTATACAAATTCTGAACTAAGGATTGAAAACTAGGTGTTCTATTTCTGGTTTAGTTATTCTTCTGTTTGTCGTTATTTTTTGAAAATCTCAAAGATTAATTTGTTTTATAGACTTTTGAGACTTTTGTTTTATATTTAAATGGCATTATGAATGCCTCCTCTACGTTCTGAGTACGGTTAATGGATGTTTCCTAACTAGCCTCGACTTATGATACATTTTTAATATACACACACTCATACACAAACACATAACATACATATGTATATATGTATGGACATACATAAACACATACACACACACACATATATATATATATATATATATATATATATATATCAAATACAAGACACGTAACAAATGTTTACATAAGTACAACATACACATCAAACACAGTCTTTAAATCTAACTTTGAATACATTTTCCACATCACAAACTTTTTTATGTCCATGTCCATTCCAAACAATTATGGCAATAATTATTTATTAGAAATATCACCTATTTCCTCTATTACTATGTTTAGAAGCATTTATATGTTAATAAGTAGAGTTTGTATCTAAAAGTGATAAAGTTTACAATTGTAGTGTTTTCATTCTAAGCTCTGTACATCTTTAAGATGTCAAGCCACTCACCATAGGTTGTTTTAATCCGATTTTGCTATATGAAATTATGAATTAATTAATAAATACAGATCACTGGGTAATATACAGCTAGTCTGATCTTATTATGATCTTACTATTGGACTATGAATAATTTAACTGTATTTTCATATAGCCCGACTGCATTTTTTCTGTAAAGAACATTTAAAAGTATTTGATATTAGAATTTGTTGGAGAATATGCATTGCATTTTCAACAATAAAACATTAATATATGTGAATTAAATACTATGTAGATACTTTTCTATTTTACAAAGTACAAAATCGGTATGAGTTGTTACAAATTTTTTACTCTATATACTGATCCTTATTTTCCTTCTTTGTAAACTATGCATATTCTTCATCATAACTATAGTATTATCGCAATATATTTTTATATGCTTGATTATGATTATTGCAATACAAGATTCTTTTGAAACATACTTCTTTAGTTTAAGATATATGTATTGTTGTGAAATGGATATTATACGAGAAATATTTAAACTGTAAATAAAAATAACTTTAACAAAAATCTTACTGATTTGAAAAGCATCTCATCTATTCGTGCTCATTATAATCATTTTAGTCATAGCTCATTTATTCGTAAACATCATAGTCATTTTTCAGCGGTAATAAAATTATTGTTCAGGAGAAATTGAAATTTATGGCAAATTTGAAAGAAAATTCTTTTATACAAATAATCAATTATATAAATATCAAGATAAATGATTGTTTGTTATGATTGAATTAAATAGGTTACAATTGCATTGCAGAACTTGATCATGTTAGTTTACGGGAAAAAAACTGACCAATAAATAGATAAGAAAACTAGATATGCATTAAAATGACACTGTGCTATTATCATAAATACATTATTAGCATGATTAATTTTATAGGAAATTATGAAATTAAATAATTAGGAGATTATAAATTATTATCACCGTTGACGTCCACACATAAAAAATACATTTTTAAGCCACGAAGTGGAAATTATGGAAATGTGTTGAATAAAGTGAATTAACATGATTATAGATGTTATAAGCTAATTTGGAAGATATAATTTGGAAATCATATTGATTAGTTTTCAATGAAAGCGAAAACTGTATTATCT